ATGTGCTGGAGGTACTCCTTGGCTTTTTCGAGTGGCATTTCCTTTGCCATCAGCTTCACAAGCCTTGGCTCATTCACACTCAGAAGCTCCAAGCCCTCGCTGGATGCTATGACTGCCGAAGCCACCCTCGCATCAGCGCAAAGCCACTTCACATCCTTGACGAGCTTGATGATGTTGATTAACCTGAAAAATGGGACTGAGCTTGCCGTTCCCAACAGCACACCCTGCACAGTCTTCACTGCTTTGTCTGCCCCCTCTACAGGCAATGTCGAGGGGTTCAACACCACATCCACCCCCACCTGCACCGGCGAGCCTGTCTGCTCCTGCACCAACTCGAAGACTTCGATGACGATCGTCTTGCTGTTCTTCCCAGCATCCCACCGAAGATGGTCTGCGAAGAAGGGGAGACGAAGGACTGAATGTTTCATCTTGTCATACATTGCGTCGTAGAGGTTGCCATCCGTGAGCTCCAGGTAGAAGGGATTTGGCTTCTCTCTCAGGAAGTGCGAGAGTGCTGGACTTCCCTGTGGATTTCAGCCCAACAAGGCCGACCATCTTAGCTTTCTCCATCATGTACCTGTCGAGCGGGCAAAACCGGTGGTCGTAGTCCGCAGGAGCCTTTGGTTGGAAGCATCCTCTGCGGATTTGGCGCGCCATCCGGTGGGTCTCCGTGGCATTCCACACATAGCAGGCGAAGACGCCGACAACGCCCGTTCCAACGCCCAGCGGTGCTGCATTGGCGCGAAACCACGCCCAAGCTCTCGAAGCCATGAGGAATTTCGCGTTTTTGTCTGCACATGTTGAGCAACAGGGAGTGCTGCGAAATGCAAGGTTATGTCATGCAATGTGATGCAATGCAACGCAAGAAAGCGGAAGTCTGGGACTACAAGAACACCAGTGCTGACGAGGTGCAATGAGGATGTCGTTCACGAACTCCAAGGCTGTGATGATGTGCAAGAAGAGTTTGAAGGACACTGAGTCATGAAACAGTGGAACTCTTTGAGACCCAGAAACCCATTTAGAGATATAGTCCCATAACAGTTTAATGAACGAACATAAAGGTAGGAAATGTTCAAAATGTAAAAATACACAACCGCTGGACAACTTTGACAATGGAAAGGCACTATGTCAAAAATCACTTTGATAAACAAAAAAATACAAAAACATATATATATATATATACACACACTGAAACAAGTTAACCCCATTAAGTTATACAATAAAATATAAGCCCAAAGAATGTCCCCAACAGCAAGGATGTTTGTAGTAAGAAGTTTCCAAGAAACGTCATCTATTCCCGCATTGCAACCCTATGAGGAACCTGATCTGTTGGGGAAAACAGGAAACGAAGAGTACCAAACAAAGAACAAGAAAATTGAAATTCGCAAGGAAGGCCAACACATTTGGTTTTTACCAACGCCCCACCGTGCTCAGCAGAACACCAATCGTGAGACACGGTGGGAACATAGCGGCATTACCATGGCAAGGTGGTGAATGGGAAGGCAACGTCCAGCGTGCAACATAGCACGTCGACGTGCATCGAGTGTCCCTAACCCCACATCTAAATTGCATAGAAGAGCTGGGTCTCCATTCTTTCCTAACAGCTCTGATTGATTGAAGGTACACTTGACAAAACCAATCCACTTCAAAGTCCTGTTCAATACAACTCTGCCCGCAAAATCCGAGAGACTTCACGCAAAGGAAGCTAGTTGTCATGTCAGCTGGCTAGCGCTTAGCCTTGTCTCAAAAAGCTGAAAGGAGCCGAGGACACAGAGTCGTTGCGCAAAGCCTTTGGGATTTCTGCAAAACGGAAAGCCCCACCTTCACAAGCTCCTGAAGACTGCGGCGCTCCTCAGGCTGTCCCAATGACCAGCCTGGAAGAGCAAAAATGGAGAAACTTTCAGTCCCCAAAACATGTTTTTTCGATACAGTGCACATCATTACAGTGACACAATTGTGACATGAACATTTCCTGAAAGAAAAGTAAAAATACTGCATCATGTTGCACTTGCCTTACCTTCCAAGAGTTTACCTCCTGTCAAACATTGAAGGGGAAAACAGTCCCAAAATGTCCAAATTGCTTCACGTCACACAAACAGCGCCGTTCTGCCGAAGGCTCACACTGCAGAATGTTTTCTCAGAGACCTCATATCAGCAAATGCTCCCAGATTCCAGATTCACATGAAACGTTTGTTGAAATCAGTCCATGAATCAAATTCCTTCTGAGTGATGCACCGTCTGCTCCTGCAAAGTAGCAG